CATATGGTTGATATGTGCCCATGTTTGTCGATTGATGACGAGTGATTGTCAGGAGATGATCAAGCTTTGGTTGAGTTTGGATACAAACCATGGCATGAGTGTGGTGTTTGTGCAACATATTTCTTGGCTTATGGTGCGCAGGTGTAGAGCACAGAGACGGTCGATGGCTATGGAGAAGGTCAGGACGGACGAGAGGCTTAGATCGAGGGACCAAGGACTGGGAGACTGACCATGGGTGGCTAAGACCTGGGGACATCAACAAGCAAGTGTACATGTGGAGGAGCAGATTGTGTTCACCAAGTCAAGATTGCGGTTGACCAAGTCAAGCGGAGGCGTTAGAGAACTTGGTGATCGGGTGGTCAAGGACGGACGGTGATACACATCGAGATCATGGGAGAGGCGTAGTGGATACGCTTCTCCAGAGGAGTTTGGTGGTTTGGGCCTCCAAACCACCGGTGGATGGTATACGAGATTGGGCCTCAAAACCCAAGATGGAGTTTGGGATGACACATGGCGTCATCATGAAGCTTGTGTCGAGGCAAAGCAAAGTCGTGACGAGCTCGTGGCCATCAGATGCTTGGATCTCAAGTTGGATCATTTTGCCCCTAGGGCTCAGCAGCTAAGTATCTAAGGGCAAGTTTGGGGATTGTGTAATAGCTCTATAGATAAGAGGGGAGGCTGCCCCAACCAACCATCTCTCCAGCTTTAGGTTCCCCAGTCTCTAGTTTTCAGTTTCTAGTCCAGAGTCTTGAGAGAGATCCACATATGCGAGTTTAAGTCCCTCTATATGTGTAATCCTTCATCTGTGTAACTTGGCAAAGTGTCTGACCTTGTTCAAGAAGGAAATAAAGCAATCATTCCTCTGAAATTCGTGGCCAAATTCTTGTGTTCGTTTTCGAATCGGTTTTTCCCTTCTCGAACCCTTTGTTTTAGTTTTGATGCATTTCGTTTTTCTGATGGTTTGAGACTGATTGGGATGGATAGAAACGTGGTAGGACCCTTGAGGAACACATCTACCAACTGGTTTGGTCAGGTTCCTCACGAGCACGAGTTTGTGGGATTTTGAGCAAAGTTGAGAAAACCCCAATTCGGTCGATGAGATTCTAGATCCCCGGAGTTTCTTTGATATTTTGGAGTTAAAATTTTGTGGACACCTTCATAACATCCTAGAGAAGGTGTGTGCAAAATTTCAGCTCAATCAGACTTCGTTTGATCTAGTTTTGGCTTTTTCTCCGTCGGTTTGGGCTGCTAAAAACAGCCTGCGCAAAACTTTCACGTGCGCTGAACTTCTACGTTCGTGTGCTGAACTTCCGCGTTCCGTGGGAAGAAATTTGACTTCTAAGGTTTCTGAGGCTTTTCCTTGTTTTGCACTTGCTTTCGCTTGTTTGTTTGAGCTTCCTAGCACTTTCCAAGTCCTATAGCCTTGTCAATGACTACCGGGACTTGATTTTGCTAGAAGAGAGAAATTTTTGGATGGTGTTGGGATAGCGGCCGAAATCAAAAGAAAATTGGATTAGGCTCCCATTCAAAACCCCCCCCCCCTCGTTCACCTTGCACGGTCCTTCACTTGCGTCAATAGATGTTGGTGTGATGACGAAGCCAGCTATAGCGGCTGTACAAGGCAACAGTGGCTCCAATAGATATGCGCAGCATTGTGATGAATCCGGTAATGTTTTAGGGGAAGAAAGGTAGCTGTATATCTGTAAATAACATACAAGATGATTTAAATTTTAAATTTGCAAGAGGGACAAAGATTAGGAAATTTTGTGAGAGACTTGGACACTAATTTTATCGAGCTCATCAAAGAATTAAAGGCTGCATAGACTTAGCCTCGGCAAAAATTACACAACAGTAGAATAAAAAGAAAGGCAAGAGGCATTTAAGCAAAGGAATTGGTCGATGATAATTGTACAGAGGTCGTGTAAGTGAATAATTAAGTTAGGGAGCATCGAGAGATATGACAATTATAGTTAAACTTTTTTTTCAAATGTCGTTTTCAAGTGAAAAGAGAGCTTAATTCTTACAATGAAAAAGATTGTTACTAGTGCAGGTTATCTTACTAGTTTTTAAAACAAAATAGCATGTGTCCTCTGCCCTTTCTTCTTTTTTCTCGAACCACCGATCAAACACAAATGAAAAAAGACAGTGCACTTCAAAATTTGCTTCGGCTCACATCACGGGTGGTAACTCGTGAGAAGACTTAACACCGGTCAAGCTCCACTACTTTTGAGCAAGCTATGAAATACTTCTGGAGGCTATCTTACATGTGGCTCAGGTGGTTTCCAGCCTTTCCGTGATACTATAAATTCTTCCTGTTACGGTGTTACCTCGAGCTATACCTTACGATATTAGTAGACTTACTCAACGAAGCAATAGCTTCCGGAGTAGACTTCTTTATATTCTAAAAAATAGATATAGGATTTTTTTTCTATATATATCATATATCTCGTGAGTTAACATGGAAGGTGTAGCCCATGACTTCTCCCATTTTTAGGCACGGGGATTGGAGAACAAGGCCACACCGTTGTTTCCATCAATGAAAGAGGTAGGAGGAATACTCCAGTCCACATCTCATTTGGCAAGTCATCTTGGCCCCAGCGGCGACCATAACATCAGATGGGACACTTGCCCTGAAATTCCAAGTCCAGGTCGTCCTTCCACTGATACCATCGCTACCAGCTGGAATGCTTGTCCAACGCAAGAGAGATTTTTATTGTTCTTTGTGCAGCTACCAGTGGTTACAGTCTCAGCAGAAATTTGACTTACAAGGTTTCTGAGGCTTTTCCTTGTTTTGCACTTGCTTTCGTTAAAGGGTCGGGCGAGCCAGAGCCCGTGACCAAAGGGTCGGGTGAGCCAGAGCCCACAACCTTAGGGTCGGGCAAGACGGAGCCCGCGACCTTAGGGTCCGACGAGACGGAGCCCTCGCCCAAGGGGTCGGACGAGTCGGAGCTCGCGCCCAAGGGGTCGGGCGAGTCAGAGCTCGCACCCCGCAAGACAGCAAGGGTAATAGTAAAGTGTAGACTGTCTTGGTTGTAAATCTAAGGATGCTTGTGGTTGTTTGAGCACTTGGTAGCACATATTAGCTTAAGCATTGTGCTCCCTTTATAGTATGGCTTTTCCTATACTTAAATTCAATATATAAAAGAATTTAAACCTCCTTTGAGTTTGAAGCCATCTACATTTATAATTGGGGGCTCCTCCGTTTCGTGTAGCATCCTTGAATATAAATTACCTGCTTGTCATCTCGATAAATTTCATTAGATCTCTAATTGCATGGTCATTATCACCAAAACCCATAATTAGGGCTTGATTGCAATTTCAATCTCCCCTTTTTGGTGATTGATGATAACCCAATTAGTGCTTACAAAAGATATGAAATAAATACTGATATTTTCGAGCCATGGGTCATTATCATCAGCATTTCATTAAGAAGATCTTCTCACGCGGATCGAAAAAATCCTCAAACCTCAGCCCCACCCATACAGCGGCATCGCATCCCCGTGAGACGGGACGATCACAAACGTGTACTTTGGCGTGGGACGGACGAGGGAAATTTTTTTACCCTCAAGCCTGAAATTCTCCCTAGAGGGGAATCGAACTCATGACGGGTGCCGCAGGAAGCGCTCGACCAACCGGTCTAGCATCCATCCATGAACCTAAGGTAGACTCCGAGTTTGACACTGTGTAGCAACAGGGGAAATTCCTTAATAAAATTTAACTGGCACTTTGCGATTCCTTTCCGCCCAAATGCACCAGCATAAAAGAACGAAGAAGTCCATGAAGAATGGGATGTTGAACTGGACTTTGAACAATTCCATAGCCTAAAATCTTGAGCACAAACTTGTGGGAAGTGAAAATTGGTAATGCTCAACTAGGAGCTTCTAGCAAAGGAGCGTACATGTAGAGGTGCTCCAGAATTTCTTCAGTGCAAATTGTGCATAGGGCACAATCAAAGTTGTCCAAGTACATATTTTCTACAGTGTGCTCTACCTTTTCCTTAGAGTAGAAAAAAGTACCAAGGTCACATACTTGGCCCTTCAACCCGACCCTCTCTGATTAAACAAAAAGCACAGAACATTTTAAAAATCGATTCAGATCACATCACGGATGGTAACTGGTGAGAAGACTTATATAACGCCGGTCAAGCAAGCCCCACTAGTTTTTGCTACAGAACGAGCGAGCTATAAAAATGAATTACTTCCGAGGTTTTTGCTGACGGCTACCTTACCTGTGCCTGCGGAAACATGTAAGCCCTGGCGGTGGTTTCCAGTCTTTTCATGATATAAATTCTTCCCGCTATCGCTAGCTATACCCGTAAGGATTGCAATGTATGTAGACTCAACGAGCAATAGCTTTCTTAGTACATTTCTTTGTTTATTAATTTTTCTATAAAAAATAGATATAAGATTATGAAATATCTCAGTTGCTGGCATCTTTTATGGTAACTCAAGAGAAGACTTTACAGGTCAACACCGATAACAATAGCTAGACATTTCTAACTTTTGTGAGAATTTGTAGAATTTATCCTTTCTAGCACATGTCTTAAGCGAATCGACACGACGTATCTTGTGATAGTTGCGTGAAGGAATCTTCCTGTTAGTAACAGTAACTCTAAACTCATGACTTTTCTCTCATTTTTAGGCACGGAGATCCGAGAACAAGGACATCATTGTTTCCATTAATACATACAAAAAAGACAGGAGGAATAGTGGAGTACTCCACATCTCCCTCGGCAAGTCTTCTTGGTCCAGCGACGACCGTAACATCAGATGGGACACTTGCCCTGAAATTCGAAGTCCAGGTCGTCCTTCCACTAATACCATCGCTACCAGCTGGAATGCTTGTCCAACGCAAGAGAGAATTTTATTGTTCTTTGTGGAGCTACCAGTTGTTACAGTCTCAGCATAAAACTGTGTAGATCGACACAGTACGCCACTCACCACACCATCCTCCATCTGACCATCTCCAGAAACAAGCCCTTGCAGACCTCCGATACAACGATGTGCTCCACTGGAGTCCTACTAGCTCGCGCATGTGCTGTGCTCATGTGTTGGGCCGTCGTGGCGCGAGCACCGCCGGCCAAGGTCCATGCCGCCGGGACAGGGAATGGGCACCTTGGTATCCCTACCAATGCCTCCCAGGCGCACTGTCCCTCCTACTGTGGGGATGTCAAAATCTCGTACCCCTTTGGGATAGGGCCGGGCTGCTTCCGGCAAGGCTTCGAGCTCACCTGCTACAACACAACTGGTTCTCCCAGGCTGTTCCTAGGAAACTCAACTCAGGTGACTTCTATAGATGTCGTCAGCAATTATGTTTTGGCTTCTGCTGTTGGGTACAATATCACCATGGGCTTAGGTGTGGACACCTACATGATCACCAAGTCCTGGAAGGTCCCTACTGAGGGTGTCATTCTACGTGAAACCCAAATGTATGTTGTTGGCTGTGGTGTCGAAGTATACATGCTCGGTGATAATGCGACGGATCTCATTGGTTCTTGCATGAGTATTTGCCCAGATAATAGAGAGATCATGGAGAGGGCAAACATGGGCTACGGTGCCTGTGAAGGGTTTGGCTGCTGCGCCATCTGGTCATCATTAGCGGGCCGGCAAGCAATTACTCTCAAGCTTGGCCGCCGCAATAGTACGATTGCACTGTTAGATGAGGCGCGCTCTAGTATCAAGGTCATCTTTTCGGAATACTATCACTTCGTTATAGGTGATCTTTATGCAAGTTGGGTGAATACAAGCAATGTTCGAGGTATGTTACTTGACATTGCAATCACGGACCGACCAAGCTGCGCAAGTGCCCAATCCCAAGAGAACAACGATACCTATGCATGTAATAGTGAAAGCATCTGCAGGGATCTACCAGTATCTCGAGGAGGCTACAATTGCTTCTGCCCTGGTCAAATGGAAGGCAACCCCTATGTTGTAGCTGGCTGCATAGGTTCGTGTGCCTCTCTCTGCTTCTTTTTTCGCATGACTTAATATTTTAAAGTGGCATGTAGACATTTTCTATATTTATTGCATTATCTCTATTATTACCAATCTGAAAGCACCCACAAATTTTGTCACACATGCATGTGGATTATATTGTTGTGTTACTCAAGATTAAAATAATGTGTTGATCCCTGCACTTGCAGTATTTATTGTCATACATATCAAATGCCTTTGCTGCTGAACTAATTAAACTGGCTAGTTTATTCGTCTCAAATAATAAATGACTTACTACTTTCCTTGGATTAATCCTAATTCCTCACTTTGTGTACCATGAAGCAGATTACAATCCAAAGGCACCCAATGACAACTGTACGAGATTATGTGGAAACATAACCATTCCATTTCCTTTTGGGATTGAAGAAGGCTGTTTCGCAAATGATAACCTACGACTCAACTGCACAAGTAACAACACTACTATTCTAGATCGAGGGTACGCACAATATCGTGTGACCAATTTATCACTCGATGATGGGCTTATGACGGTTACAAACATGCTGAATGACACAAGCTCCAACAATATGGAGAGAGTAGTCATCACTGACTATGATGGTCAATATCAAAGTTTCTATCCAACTTACGAGGAGGTTGTGGATGATAATTTTGATTTCTCTCAGGAGTTTGTAGTAATAAAATGGGCTATAGCAAATATAACTTGTCAGAAAGCTATGTTGCATAATGATACATATGCGTGCATAAGTGACAACAGTTTCTGCATAGAAGTCATGCGAGGCAAAACACATGATGGGTACCGCTGCAAGTGTTCCGATGGCTTTCAAGGAAATCCGTACCTTAAAAATAGTTGTACAGGTTATATTTCTCTCTTATATAAACTTATTTGCACTAAGTTTTTTGTTTCTCTAATACTAATCTATCTAATCGTGCTATTACACATGCTAAATTTTAAGAGACAAAAATATTACAAGTTACGGATAGGATCTCCAACTAATTGCTTATTTTTTCTCTCTATGGTTGTGATACACTTGGGGCGTACCTGCCATAGAAAATGGGGACTGGCCCACCGAACTGAACCAACCAACTCAGCCCACCATCCCTCATGGGTGTAATTGGTTATAACCGGTTGTAGTTGGTCACGACTCACAATTGGGGCCTGGTTGCAACTAGTCACAAGTCGCGACTGGAGTCTAGTTACAACTGAGCTATGACTGGCTTAGGGTCTATTTGGCTAGACTAGAACTAGTGATTAGCCCAGCCCTATTTGGATCCACTCGCTAATAAGTTGTACCATCTCAATACAGAGTCTGTTATGCCCCTGAGTTCGTCTTCTCCAATGTTCTCCCGGATCTAGCTAGAGGCGTCCGTGAGCTGGGGGGGCCTCGGAGGGCTGGCCGGCTGGAGGCCATAGGCGTGGGGGCTGCACTAGACGGCCTGCTGGAGGCGGCGGGTAGTGGTCAGAGAAGAGAGGGCGGTGGGTGGCAACTGGAGAAGAGGGAGAGGTGCGGGTCGAGGTAGGGGGCAGCTCCGGCCATGCGTCCTCGCACGCACCGGCCATGTGTCATGGGTCCTCGTGCACACCGGAGAAGAGGGAGAGGAGGTGCGGGTCGCCTCGGAGCCTCGCACGCACCGGAGAAGAGGGACTGGCACTAGTCGTCGGGGCCGGATTGTATTCTCTAGTAGTCATGATAGTTACTATATAGCCTTACTATATAGTTTACAATGTAGTTACCAATTAATTGTTTTTCCATCCATATTCATATTTCCCATGTGCATCACACCTTAGGTGAATTTTAATGTGATTAGTTGTAACTTTAGCTTGAGTTATGCTAGGTCTGGTTGTATCCCGCGTGTCATGACTCTAATGCTTATCAATATTCGTTTAGTTGCTTCAAATTTTGTATCCTCATGTTAGATTGAAATTGTGGGTGTTTCATCTCTTGACAAGTAAAGTTTTTGTGTCACACATGAGTTCGATGGGGAGAGACAAAGTATTATATTGGTTTTGGTGATTGAGCCCTACATCCAGTGTGGGAAGCGAGTTCTATTGTTGTGCCCAAGTGCTTGGAGTTGGGTAGCACTATCATAGAACAATTTTTTTAGAGATGGGCATAACAGATTTTTGGAGGCGGACTACCCACCTGCCTTTGCTAAGGGTCACAATCAGTTAGTAATTACAGAGGTGGTGGTTATGCTCGTCTCTACAAACGAAGGAAAAATAAAAACTCAGCCCTCACGGGCTTAGTCCAAGCCAGGAGATCCGCCATACGCTGGACCACCGGCCGTCCATCAAGGTCGTCCTCGGAAATTCGCCGCCTAAGCCTGTCGACCGTCCTCAGAGATCCAAAGTTGCCAAGCTCACCCGGCATCCTTGCCACCATCCGTGGAGATCCACTGTTCATCCTCACCTTCGTCTCTAGATATTGAAAGCATAGATACAGCTATTGTCAATTCCCACTATGAGCCCAATCGACCTCCCCACTCATTCTCCCTACTTGTCCTCCCAGCCATCCTCCTAATCCATCCTCCCCACTCATCACCCCAGGTCATCCTCGCCGTTGTCAATTCCCACTGTCGAGACCATTACAAACAAAGTGACGGAGACAGAGATAGAGTCTGAGGGTTGGAGGGAGAGAGGTCATCACTCATACCTTCAATATGGTGGCAGCACTTGGTCCATCGCGCACTTTTCCTAGATCCGCATGGCGACGACCTCCGCCTCCTAAGTTCTCGTTGTCGCCCCTATCCTTGTATTCAATGCATGATCAAGCCTCCATGGGCGGATCGTCGCCCCCTCCGCTTAGATCCGCATAGCCATGAGCCCCATACGCCGCCGCAATCACAAGCATAACCATGGAGCACAGGCAGTCATGAGCTCCAGCCATCGCCGCAAGCATAAGTGCTCAGATCAAAGATGGTGGAGGGGCGTTGGTCAGAGGAGAGAGCCAAGAAATGAGAGAGAGGCGACTGTGGGAGAACGAAGAGAGGTGGTTACGGGAGCATCCAACCCCTAAGTTTGGTGTGCGTGTGTGTGTATACATGCGAACAAAGTAATGGGCCTAGCTTTCAGGCTTTTGGCCTATTTCCTAAGGTGGACCTCTTATCCTTTGAAAATGTTATCTAGTTTTAGAGGCGGTCCTTTTAAGAGGCTTGCCTCTAGAAATAGATGTATAGAGACATTTCTTTTTTCTACCTCTATAATTGGTTTGACTGCCTCTGTAAATCACCTGGTACTTTGGGAGATCAGAACACTTTATGCCCACCTCTGTTAATCAAGAGGCCAGTCTCCCAAAATAATTTTTGTAGTAGGTAGGGATGTGTTACAAGAGGTTGTGTGTAACCTATGTGGATTGCTCCTCGTTGCCTCTGGTTGGGCTACCGAACCCCCTTTATATAGTCAAGGGGATGTGGTTTACATGTACAGTGAGTTGGCAGTGATCTCCCCATGCTTGGTGTGGTCTTATTGGACTAGCGGCCCCATGTGTCACTCGTCTGACTTGTGTTTTGGGTGATGTTCTTCTTGACAAGCAGAACAATTAGGGGCTATTTTCCTTTGTCAGCTCGTATGGAAGATGTCCATGATTGTTTTGTTGGATTCAACAAATAGGCATAGTATTTTCCCCATAGAGGTTAGGTGGGTGGCGACAAGGTTTGTACAAGTGTGTTGCACACTCTGCACCATCCGATATTGTGCCCAATGTACACCGTACTAGGTCAAGCAGAGAGGGGTGTTGTATCCCTTTAAGGATGTCATCAACTCTGTCCTTTGGTTTTGTCCTTTGTGCTCCTAGCTTGTTCGAGTATCGCATAGTGTTCCACTCGGACCCTTAGTCAAGCTGATGTCTGAGGAGCCCTAGATCCCTTTAGCTTCTAATGCACAGTCCTTAATTCATTTGGCCAAATGAATTACCCAGAGGCATCGGGGACAATCGCTTAGACACTAATTGTGTTGGTATGCAATGTCCTTAATTCATTTGTATGTATTAATGGAAACAATGATGTCCTTGTTCTCGGATCTCCATGCCTAAAAATGAGAGAAAAGTCATGAGTTTAGAGTTACTGTTACTAACAGGAAGAAGGGGTGAGTGGAGGGATTTGGGGGCCTCTCAGATTTGAGGGCTTGAGTAGTTGGACCGCTGGACCTTTTTTGTTTCCAACCCTCAGATTTAGGGTAGGGTTGGGTTTAGTGGACCCGCTAGAGATGCTCTAGGTTTCTCCAATAATACATACAATTGTTCAGCGTGCCTTCAACAATAGCATATACAATTGTTTAGCCTATTGCTCAAATAGCATATACAATTGTTCAGCCTACTGCTCAACGCTTAAGATGTTGAATTTTTTCTAAGGATTATGTGTTGAGTAGTATACCTTTTTAAATAACAAATGCTTACAATTGGACTATAAATGTATATATGTCATAATTTTTTAGTTGAGATGTATGAATTGTCTAATGTAGCAACTCACATAATTTAATTTTGTAAATTATTAATATAATTTAAGTACATTATTAGAGTCACTGTGTTGATAAGGAAATATTTTTTTGTCCTTGTTAAACTGTGGAAATGTTTGCTTGTATATAGCTTGGTGCATGTCTATATGGTGGGACATAACATGTATGGATATTTAGAGTAGTATTTTATATATACCTATAGCGGTAGGAATGGATATTTTAGAAGAGTATTAGGGGTCACAATATCTCTTTTCACAAAACATATTTAGATAATGTATACATGGATTTAAGGGATTATTTTAGTTTATTTTATGTAATAAAACATATAGGTAATTAGATGCAAATTTGTGGATGGTTAATTTATGATATCTTACAAAATGGTAGAGGTGGGTAACTTGTATGAAAATTTAGGGTTTACTTTATATTATTTTTCGGGCAAAAGCGGATAACTTAGATATAGATTTGTAGGGTTATTGACTATTTGTTAATGACATATAAAGGGGGTGATTTTATTTATAAATAGAACAGATCCAATGACTATTGTTTTCGACAAATCACAACAAATAAAGGGTCTGACAAGCACCAC